CCAATGTATTTGAAAGTAACTGCTTCAAAAAAGGGACAAGTTTCACCAAAGCCTGGCTCTGATAACATCCTGATTTCTGCCATTAAGTGAGAACAGCCAGCATCTTATATATTAGCTTATATATCAGCTGCCTGCTTCATCCTGTCCCTAGTTGATTCCCAATGGTCTAATCCACTGATTTAATTAAAAATCCCTTTCCTTCCCAACAGAAGGGCTTTTTGCAGCTTGAATTTCTCATTTTAAAGAGGAATCATTAGAAACCCAGTCAGAAGTCTTCGTTTTCTCTAACAAAGAGCACCATATCACTGCTCTTTGTTTCTAAACACCTCAGAAGCACATAAAATAATTGTTTTCTGCAGAAAAGAAAGTTTACTTCTATAACATACCTTGTTTTTCAAATCACTTCTGCTATGAATCTATTGTGCTAAGAACAATAATGCATGGCAATGCTAATGCATAGCTGAGATTTAACATGACAAATGGCTTCACATTACAATTTTTCCAGTAGCAAAGCCTGAGTAAAAGGTTCCTGCCCTTTTCCTCACCCAACTCCTTCTACCATTTTGGTAGTTTACCTTCAGTTGTGCTAATGCAACTGCTTGTAGAGCTGTACTCTAAGCCAGAACAAAGCAAAATGACCTCATTTAAGAAAACAACAGTACAATCACTCTTTTTCATCGATCTACTTTGAGAATTCATAATTAGAAGGAAAAAAATCCATTATTCACAATGCCAGTTAAGAAATCAGTAATCTAAAATGTATTTCAGTTGCATGGGAAGACTCTCTTGTTTAACAGTTAAAGTTAGATCACTTTTGAGTGGAATCTCAGAATGGGAATGGTCATCGGATAGCCAAAGCTAGCTATATTTCATTTCAGGGAAAAAATACTTCTGCTAATATTCCAATTGCAGCCTTTCCTATCGGAGCAAACAGAACCTGAAACACAAAGAAAGCAAGCTTTCCTCAGCTCAATTTAGTACTCACCAGTACTCAAAAGGAGACATGAACCAGATGTACTAGCAAACTTCTGCAGAGAATGTTCACATAAAAAGGATAGCAGCAAGTTTTTCTTTGGAACACTGTCTGACAAGCAGTAAATGAAAAAAATATTACACCATTTTATAAAAGCCTGTTTTTTCCTATTCAAGAGTTTCAAGGTTTTCTTTTGGACAACAGTGAGCCATTACTTAGAATAAACATGGTTTATTGCTCCTCCAGTAAAGAAGTTCAAAGCTAACTTCCTGCATCAGCAGCAATTACTAGAGACAGCCCTTATAATTATTGCCCTTGTATCACTTTCTGTCAAATGACCTTTCAGGGCAAGTGCTTCCTCCCAAACAAGTTACACATTCACTTGCAGTATTATTGCTTTCTACAGCTACCTGAAAGGAGGATGGAGACAGGAGGGGGCTAGGCTCTGCTCCCAAGGAATAAAGGGACAGGACAAAAGAAACGGCCTCAAGCTGCGCCAGGACAGGTTTAGGTGGAGCTGAGGAACAATTCCTTCCCCAGAGGGTGCTCAGGCATTGGAACAGGCTGCCCAGGGCAGAGCTGGAGTCACCATCCCTGGAAGCGTTCACACACTGTGTAGACAAGGCCTCAGTGCCATGGGTTAGTGGTGGCCTTGGCAGTGCTGGGAACGGTTCGACTGGATGAGCTTAAAGGGCTTTCCCAGCCTGGTTGATTTGATGATTCCAATTTTACAGACTGGAGAATGGTATCCAGCACTAGCCACTGCCTTCCTCACAGAAGTCCTATACTTCACCTGCTTCACATTAGTTAGCTAATGTGACCATGATCCACTAAACTTTGGGAGAGTAACTCCTTTTTCATGCTAACTTTCACATGCATGTCTGATGCTGAGGCAAGGTATTCTCAAGGAATAAATAGGAATAGACAGATGGGAATCAATCACCAAGCATGCAGCCCAGCTGAATGAGTAGAAAAGAACCTGCTTGCTTCACGGCTCTTCCAGTTCTTGGACTGAAGCCCCCCTGGTCCAGAACAAGAAAGCAGAATTTGCCATGAGGAAAAAAACACAAATACACCTATGTCCTACTGAGAAAAGACATGATTAGCAATGTCGCACTGTAAATGGGATCTTCATGGGTTCTACTTAAACTCCAGGAAGGGAAAAAAATACCTGCAAAACTTTGTGGTGACTAGGTTGCAGGCTATGGTGACTAGATTGCTTCACTCTTAAATAGTTAATACCTGCAAAACTTTATTGTGACTAGGTTGCACTTTATGGTGACTAGGTTGCTTCACTCTTAAATAGTTACTTTAACCAGTGTCGCCAAACTCCTCCCTCAAGCCTTGCAATCTGCTCTGGATACTACTTGAAAGCTATATTCCTTATTCAACCAAAATCTCCAATGAGAAAGAACACTTCCAGCACTTGTTCTATGAGTTTATGAGGCAAACTCGCTGGTTGGGTTTTTAGACTCCTTGAAAGTCAGGACCTTTGCTTTGTGCCCAAAGAACTGTCAAATCCATAGATTTCTACTCCAAAAGCAGGTGTGCATCACTCTTATTGTTCTTCTTGTTTTTAAATGACCAGCCTAGGGGAAAAAAACCCCACCTTTCCAACTTTACTGGCTTTAGGTCTGTTTCTCAGTATTTCCACCAAATAGCCTTGCAGAAGAACTCTGTATAAGAAGGGGAAGTATGTGCATGCAGAAGAATTAACAAGGAGGAAGCCAGTTGAAGGGGTTTATGTAACTCTGTGCTGCTGAGATTCCAGGGCTGTTTCTCTGAATAAAATGGCTAATACAAAGCAGTTCTTTCACACTCCTTACAGTAGGAAAAATAAGTGCAAAGTAAGATATAAAAAAGCCTTGGGGAAAAAATCTTTTAATAATACAATTGCTAGCTACACCCCCTGTGGCTACCTGGAATACATTCTACATCAGTGATGTTATTGTCACTGAAAAAGCTGCAAGAAGGGAGAGATCACCATAGAAAACACGGTATTTAAATTGCCTACAGAACTTATTGTCTTGTTTTAATATAGTAGTTTATTTTCTCAAAAAGGACTGTGGTGCTTTCTTCCTTTCTTCTGTAATTTAGAGACCTGCATCTCTATTGTCCCTAATTCTTAGTTTTATGTAGCTAATTAAGTGGAAAGCAAAATGGATTTCTGCATCATCAACAAAACTATTAATTAAAACCTTGTTGCTTCCAAGTGTCAATGATAATTAAGCAGTGAGGTATTCTTTGTGAGGTTACTCATTTGGGTGGCCCACTTTACCATAGTAACGCTGGTTTTAATAGTCTCTGCTTAAAATAACCTCTAAATTATATGTTGCACTGGTGTAAAGAAAAACAAAACCTAACCTGTAGAACTGTGAGACACAAAGTAGAAAGATTCACTTCAGACCCCAAGATGGCAAAGGGTAGCTAAAAAGTGTATTGATAACTTGTAAATTATGCACTAACTACTGGAATCTACAACTGACAGAAGTTTCTGCTAAAAATGAGAAAGAAACATTCAGCTTCCAAGGCCGGTGGGGATACAGAAAGCCCAACTAGTTCAGAATGAAAATAAACAGCCAGAGAAATCATAGCAGACAGATGCAGTATTGCACTGCATCTGATCTATTGTGTTTGTGCACTTGAGGTACAAGTGCACAGCTCTCATGCTTCATATGCTTGACAAGTCACCCCATAAAGTAATAGTGTCAAACCACTCCAAAAAGTTTCACTGATCCTGGTTCAGAAGAGGAGGGCCTTGGTCTGTAGCAGACAATTTAAGGGCAATGATGAACAAACTCTACTGTTTCCTAGTCCTAAAATGCAGTATCTTACTCTTTCTAGCAAACAAACATCTCGTATGGGATTAGTCTAATGGCTGAATCATCACCATGCCCCCAACAAAGAGCAGCTGCTGACAGCGATGGAAAGAGTGCTGATCTATCATTCCATACTTCTTACTCGAATAAAAAGCTAAAGCATTAGAAGTGAATGGAAACAAGAATAGTGAGACACAGTGAAATATTAGCAGTCTTCATTTTATGCGTTACTGTAAGCAATGTATAGTTGCATGTAAGCATACATACCAGGGTAAAGTTTATGCAGCTCATGCTTGCCAATTCCTGTAGGAATGTGTACGTGCCAGTTGGAGCCACGTGACTGTTTCTTCAGCCTGTATTTCTACACTTACAAATTAATTAAAGCATCAGATCTCTCTCAGCAGACTGCAACCCATGTAGAAAGGGCAGACTGGGGCCTGGAGGCCTGGCTCAGTGTGCAACACCGTGGCACTTAATTTACCCTTCAGGTCAAGCTCCAACACAGGAGTATTTATAGCATCATAGAATGCACTACATGGGAAGATCTTTCAGCTCATCCAGTCCAACCCTTACCCCAGCACTGCCAAGGCCACCACTAACCCATGGCACTGAGGCCTCGTCCCCATGGTGTGTGAACACTTGCAGGGACGGTGACTCCAGCCCTGCCCTGAGCAGCCTGTTCCAATGCCTGAGCACCCTCTGGGGAAGGAATTGTTCCTCAGCTCCATCTAAACCTGCCCTTGTGCAGCTTGAGGCTGTTTCCTCTTGTCCCATCCCTTGTTCCTTGGGAGCAGAGCCCAGCCCCTCCTGGCTCCATCCTCCTGTCAGGCAGTTGTAGGGAGTGATCAGGTCCCCCCTGAGCCTTCTCTGCTCCCGACTGAACCCCCAGGTCCCTCAGCTGTTCCCCATCACACTTGTGCTCCAGGCCCTGCACCAGCTCCGGTGCCCTTCTCTGGCCCTGCTCCAGCACCTCAGTGTCTCTCTTGTCGTGAGGGGCCCAGACCTGAACACAGGATTCGAGGTGCGGCCTCACCAGCGCCCAGTACAGGGGGACAATTACTGTCCCGGCCCTGCTGCCGCACTGGTGCTGATACAGGCCAGGATGCTGGTGGGCTTTCATAGCTCCTGGGACGCGGCTGACGAGCAGCTGTAGCAGCGAAGGCCGGCTTCTGAGGAGGTCTGAGCCACGCCGGCTGCCGTACGAGGGAGGTGGTACCGGGCGGGGCGGCTGGACGGCTGCTTCGGCGCCATGGAGCCCCTGCTGTCTGTCGCCTTCCTTCTCCTCCTCTCCTTACTGCTGGTCCCCTTGGTGCTCCTGGCGAGGAGGCGCCGCAGCCGGCGGACACCTCCCTTCAGCCTCCTGGTGGTGGCCGGCTCCGGTGAGTAGGAGATACCGGTAGCGGAAGCTGGTCCCGGGGCAGAGGGCCCGCAGCTGGCTTCAGGAACTACAACTCCCGAGATGCAGCGGGAGCCAGCGAGGCTCTCTCAGCGGTGTGTCCTGGTGCATGCCGGGAGCTGTAGTCGCGGGCGCTGCTACTGCGCTAGGGGGAGGCCCCTCACTCCCTCACGGCGGCTGTCCCAGACTGTCGGGTGCCCTCAGAGCCGCCGCCTGCCTTTGGGGTTGTTAGAGTCATAGAATGTAATAGAAGGTCCGAATGGCTTGGGTTGGCAGGGTTAAAGCTCATCTGCCACAGGTAGGGACATCTTCCACTAGAGCAGGTTGTTCCAAGCCCCAGTGTCCAACCTGGCCTTGAACACTGCCAGGGATGGGGCAGCCACAGCTTCTCTGGGCACCCTGTGTCAGCGCCTCAGCACCCTCACAGGGAAGAGCTTCTGCCTTAGATCTAACCTGAACTGCCCCTGGTTCAGTGTGAACCCATCACCCCTTGTCCTGTCGCTACAGTCCCTGATGCAGAGTCCCTCTCCAGCAGCCTTGTAGCCCCCTTCAGACACTGGAAGCTGCTCTGAGGTCTCCACGCAGCTTCTCTTCTCCAGTTCTTTAGCCCCTGATTTGAGTAACTGTTAAGCTTCACCTTTGTTTAGAGCATTTTCACCTGTATCCATGTCTGCCGTTTGGGTCTCTGAGCCTTCCCTTCAGAAGGCCCATGCGTGTCACCCAAGTCATTGACAAATGTACTGATTAAATCAGATGTGAGGCAGAGCTGTGCAGCTGCTTGGTCTTCTGACAGAAAGTGATTGATGACAACTGGGGGTGAGGCTTTCCAAGTATCAGTACGTCCCCTACATACCTGTCATTCTGCAATGCTTTTCCAATCATTTCCAATCCAAGCCACATTCCTCTGGTTTACGTGGGAGTCTGCCACTGTTTTCCAGGTGTGTCACCCCACACTAAGAGGACACATACATCTACTCCTTGTTACCTCCCAAAAGTCACAGGGCAATGAATTTGCCCCCACAAAATAAGACTACCATGAAAGTTTGCCATTGCTGTCCTGTTAATACTCAGATGATTGCATTAAAACTTGTGAAACTTCAATAAACCATCACTCACAAGAGAATCCCAGCAGATACTGCATGAACTTCTATGAGAAGGTGGCAAACTCTCATGTCTAATGCAGCAGCATAGCTCTAGCTGCTTGTAAGCTGTTTGTCAGCCAAGAGTGCTTGGCTTATATAGCAAACATCTTGGAGGAAGTTAATGGCACTGGGCAGCAGGAGGCAGTAGGAATGCATTTAGTTTACTATTTTGGTCTGCAACTTCCAGCAGAGTGAAAACCAACACATCCAGTAGAGCTTATGCACATACTCTGGGATGCAGTTTGATGGTAAGCTGATCCAGCCCAACAGTCAAAAGGTGGGATGGCTCCACTTTACCTACACAGCCAGTTTTCCCTTTGCCACTGTTACAGGCACTCCTGGAGCTCCAGTTCAGGAAACAAAACTGACCAAAACCAACCCCAAAAAAAACACCCTGCTCCAAAAACCTACAAACACAATAAATACACCCTCCCCTTCTCCCCAGGTCAATGACACTTTATCTACCCGAACAAAATGACCTTGCGGCGCGAAGGTTGTCAGCACCCATTCAAGGTTAAAGCATTTGGCTGGACCTGGGCTATTTCTTCTGCCAGCATTCAGCTCTTACACTGGCTTAGCTGCAGGGTGAATTTGCTGCCTCCTTAATTTCAGTGTTATGAGTTGGGGTAGTGCAGCCCCTGCTCTTGCAGGTCATAGGACTGAGCATTGGGTAGGGTCAGTGGGAGTTATGCTTCCATGGCACAGCTCTGAGCTGGATCCTGCCCACCTTAATTTTGACCATTGCACCATAGTATAGCTTTTGAGTATGGACTACTACAGTATAACTCTTTGCCCAGGTGTTTCTGCAGGACAGGACATTGAACACAAATGTCATACTTCTGTGAATCCTGGTTCAATCCCATTTAACTAAAAAACTTCCATTAATACAGTCTTGGGGTAAAGGTTGGATAGGATGATCTTAAAGGTCTTTTCCAACCTGGCTGATTCTGTGATTCAGTGGGAGCTGAACTGCCTTCATGTTAAACACTCTCAAACATCCTGTAATTGAATCCTCTACTCTCAGAGGAGTGTCACTGATAACAGTAGCACTAATGAGTTTTAAATGGAGAAGTGTCTGACTCAGCTGAAGAAATTGAAAGTTACAACATTTCTTATATACTAACTGCAGTTTTCTTTGTTTTACAGGCGGGCACACAACAGAAATCCTGAGGCTACTGAGCTGTTTGTCAGAGTCATACTCTCCCAGACATTATGTTTTTGCAGACTCGGACACGATGAGTGAATCTAAAATACGTTCTTTTGAACAAAAAAGGGCTGAAACGTTCTCCACTTCCCAGGTAACTTGTTAAAGATGCTTTTGTACAGTAAAATGATCTCAACATGTAATTCTAATTCAAGATAATTCCAAGATTATTCTTTAAAATGATATTTTTAATACCAACAAGTGCTTTGGATTTTCTAGGTATTGAGAATCACTTGCACTAAAGTTCAGCTAAAGGTGCCATTCTGTACATATGCTTTGTACCATTCTAAAAGTGAACTAAACAAACATGATTAATACTGTACTAAAGAGACACTGAAAATGGAAGTAAATACACCTAAAAATAGAACATGCCATTCTTGCTACCAGTTTTCACTTTCTCTTAAATGGTCTTTACCTTCTGTTAGCATGTTAATCCCATTTAAAGCAATGGGGGAACATAACTGCAGTGAAAGTGGCTGTACAAGAAAAGCATGCTGGAAATAACTACCTTTTAATCTTGTAAACCAGCTAGCCAAGTGCTGTTTGGAGCTATAAAAATACTGGGGCAGGAATACGGTGGGTTTTTTTAACTTTGTTTAATTTTAGTTTGGCATTTCCATAATGTATTTTTTAAAGAAATTATACCTACAAATGTTTTCTCTAAGTAAACCTCCATTGAAATTGTATTACTTTTGTGTGGTTTAAAATCAAGCTTTCGTTACATATGCTTTAGAAGTATACAATACCTCTTCATGTCAGATAGTTTTCTGGTTGATGACCTGAGCAAACACTGAACTCCTAAGAAGAATGAAAACATCATGAAAATATCCTCTTTATCTCTTTTATCAGATGTGTTCTTGCTTTGAGCTAGTTTGCTGTATGATTAACAGACAGCAGTATAACTGTGATCTGATGTCCAGTGAAACTAATAGAAAGTTGATATTTTTGCTTAGAAATGGGAATAAGTACAATAGAAATGAACTACAGAAATCTTAGTCCTTTTGAACAAGTAGTACAACACACAGTAAATTATTTATGTGGTACTGAATTCATATGGTGCATGTTGTCTTCAGCAGCGCTAGTGGGACAACACATTGTAGTACCAATGATTTGCAGAACAAACCCTTCTAATGCAAGCCTTAGGTGAGCAATAAGGCTCACGTAGGAAGGACGTTTTTAACTTTCTTTACCCCACTTCCTACCTTGGAAGATGAAGTACAAGCAGCTGAATCCAGTGGAATGACTTTGTTTCAAATGGAACATGGCAGTTCCTTCTCTCATCGTGCAACAGGGATGAACATTTAGTAAAGTGACCACACGTATTTCCTGTTCAGAGGAATCTGGTTTTGGTGATCAGCCATTCACACACTCATGTGAAAAATGTCCAACCCTACTTATTAAAGATATTAAAAATACATATTTTGACTATTAAAAGATTATGCAGTTTTCCACTAGTTCACTTAGTTGTGCTAAGCAGTTTCCTTCATACCCCTTCCAGCTGCTAACAGATCATGTAGTTATATTTTCCTTCAGCATTAAAAGCCAGAGGAACATTTTTGGCTGCATCTGATTCTGCTGTCTGGATAACAGATGCTTATTTTCCCTTGACCATTTTTTTTTCCACTGGACAAAAGTATCTAGAGTGGAAATGGAAGGCAAATTTTGGGAAGTAAAGGCCGCATGGCTATAGCATACTAACTTTCAGAGTGTGCTTTTGAGTCGTATGAGGTTTAGCACTGGGAATCCTGGAGACCATCAAGCATTTCAAAATCATGTGTTAGTAGCTTCCTGCAGCTTTGAGTAAACAAAAGGGGAAAGTCTGAAAGCTTCAACCCATTCCCTTCCTCATCTTGTCAAGGAATTAAATCCTTACAGAACTAAGGACTGGGAAGAAAACATAATAATGACCTAAGAGAAAATCAAATACTTCTCTTTGATCTGTGGTCTGTTGTAAAAGCTACAGTATTTAGGGAGAAGGAAGGGATGCCAGAATGAGCATCTTTCTTGCAAGAAGCAAAATGTTGCACCTCTACCCACTAAGTGTCTTGGGAAAAAAAATAAAATCCAGAATGGCTCCTATGAAAAGGCTCTGCTCCTGCTGTCACTTGCCTCTTTGTTCTTTCCTGCCCTCTTGGCCTGTAACCACAACTATTCTACATGGATGCTACCAGAGCTGTTAGTCAGGAAATCTGCTATGCTCAGCACAGAGAAACTGCTTCAGCTCCTGATGGCCTACTCTAACAGAAGAAAGACAATTGCTGACTGACAACATGAATTCTTCACTGGATCATATACCCCCATTTCTTATGTCTGAGATGGGCAACAGGATTAACTAACCTTTACATAATCCTCGTTTGACCATGTGTTTTCAATTTTATATCATGCTATGAAATCTTGTTCCTCAGCATGAAAACAAACTACATAAACTACAAATAAACCCAGTTTATTTGCAAGCATTTCAGTATATTCAGTTGAGCATGTTATGATAATTCACAGCAGATGCAGTTTTCCACCAACTTTTCCTTGCATGCTTGCAAAACAACAGTATTTAACTATGATAAAGAAAATCACATCAGGTTTTCTTGGCAAATACTGTTTTAACACCATTCTTACAGTGAAAGGAGCATCTGAATAGTGCCACCAAAGCTTGATCTGCTTAAAAGTACCTTATCATACACCTACTTCTTGCAGGACTGAATACTATGCAAGGGTCTAAACTCCACTTACGGCATTGCTTTTATCACTTGAACTCTTCCAAAGCTTTAAAAAGCAGAAGCGGTGATAACCAGAATACTGTGGAATGGGGAGCAGGGGGCATGTTTGGTTTTCCATATTCTGTTGTCAGACTAATGCAATCAGAGTTTCAGCACCTGCAAAGAAAACATAAACCAACCAGTTCATAAGATCTGGTAATGCCTTCCAGTATCACAGCAATTAAAGAACCTGATCACAATGAAACAGGATCATTTCAAATTAACGTAATATTCTGCATCAAGTGAGATGATGACCATTGTCCAGATAGAAACACTATGACAACATCAACGAACAAGTGCACTGCAGCCATTATATTTGTCTTTCATTTAAACACTCACACATTCCATTGGCATCAGGACTACCTCCTGATATAGCAGTAGTTTAGGTGCAGTTCCTCTGCATCAACATTAAGGCCATCTGCAAAGCGCACAGGAAGCCCAACTCCTGTGAACTGCCTACAGCATTCTGAGACAAAAAAAACCTCATGTGTGTTTTACATACCATGAATAATCTATACTTTTTCCTAGGGAAAGAACAAAGAAAGCTATTTCTTAAACTTATTTTTTCTTTCATGATAAGATATCTTTCACTGTTTCTTTATGCAAATATTTGAATATGCATCTTACCTATCTTTTCACTGCTCATTGCGGCCTCATTTAATGGCTATTGATATTTGCTGTTACATTTTTAATAATATGCACTGGACGTTAGCTAAGAAAAGTTGTTACGTTTTCTGCTGTGTAAATCCACAAGGAATTTAAATAGACAAGAGGCAAAAGAGAGTCAAGTCGCCCTGTTCGGATCAGACCTAGATTTGTGTCTCAGTGACCACGAGGTGGGGCACTACGTTAACACACTGTGGGAGAAGCTGCTCTAGCCCTGTTGTTTGTCAAGTTAGGAATGTTTTAAAGGAATGTGAGAAGCGATTGAAAACCAGATAGATAGATCTAGTATTTCATTTTACTTTCTGCCACGATTGCTAAGCACGACACAGAATAAGGCATCGGAGAAAAGGTTCCATAGCCACACATTTCCAAACTAGATTTAAAACAAAAAGTTGTCACAGAGAGATGTAATAACTCTAGAGAAGGAGCAACAACAGCCTTAGAAAAATAACAGCTCAGTTTATCATGCTTCTCTTCCAGTTCACCCTCGATCGCATTCCTAGAAGCCGTGAGGTTAGGCAGTCTTGGACCTCCTCTGTGGTAACAACGCTGTATTCCATGCTTTATTCCCTTCCTTTGACCTACAGACGGAAACCAGATTTGGTAGGTAAATTTTAACTTATTGGGAACTTGGTATTCTGCATCATAGAAGCATTTGGAATATCAAGACTGTATCTCATATGTATACTTAGATTTAGAGTTCACAGGAAAAGTATGTTTTGAATGTAAAATTAAAGCCGAGAGAGCTATAGCAGCAATATACCAAGAGAGAACACGTTGCACTGCCAGTGAATTAGAGTAGCAAATACCAGTCTCCCCTCTCAAAGACTGCAGGCAACGTCAGAGAGTGTCACTCCCCTGTTAATACTGGAAGAGCTAACACAAACCAGGCTGCAGGTTCTTGATAACATCTCTTCAGGATTGCAACAGCACAGGCTGTGCCTGAAAGCCTGGTAATCCTGTTGGCTGTCTTGCTCCTGAAATGGTAATGAAATCCAGGCAGAAATCCATACAGATTTGGTTCTTGTGCTTACATGGACTTCTCAACCTGTATGCATAGTTACACCCACAGACGATATTTGTAAGCAGACTTGTTTTAGCTCTCTGTGAACTGTATGGCTAATCCTAAAGAGGCTCTTTATATTTGTGATACTTCGACTGTTTAGAGAAACTGCTGTGTATAATTTGATGTCACTGGCTTCAGTAGGACTGCTTCAGTTCCTATCAGATCAAAAGCTACTTGCTTGCTGGAGTCTTCAGAGCAGTTTAGCATGCAGAACAGAAGCAGCTTTTTCTTGTTTTTCAAGCCTGTTCTGAAGACTGGAGATAAAGTTGGGAGGGAGGGAGGAGGTGATTTTAACTGGGGGTAAGGGGAGGGAATAATGAAGGGGTGTTTACATGAAGCAGACATCATTAGAGCAAATGCAAGTAACATATTTAGAAGTCCCTTTTTCACATCACTGGGTTTTGGTTACTGTCAGTATTTTTTAACGTACTATTGCAAAAAATCTGGCAAAATCTCACTGTGTAGCTTAACCTATTACCAAAAGTGGCAACAGGACTCAGGGATTAAAATGCCACATATCATCAGTGAAAAGATTCTGTGTGGTATATGAAGCAACTGGTAATATTGAATTGGCTTTAGAAGAAAAGGTCTGTGGTGAATTGCTCCCCCCCTACTCTTGGCAAAATGCAACGCTTCATAGTTAAAAACATACGAACAGAAAGGGTGGGACAAATGCTGGTGTTTACAGGACTCATCTATGATTTCTGGCACAGAAGTCAACAGCCAAGTTTAGAATAAGCAGAGTATTACATCATGCTGAGAACTTCCTATTTTTAAACAGTAAAGCTTATAGGTGCTGTACATTTTCAGTCTTGGCAACTGTTGTTTAATTGGAGGAGGGACTTGTAAGTCATTTATATGTGTGAGTGATTCCCAAAGCTTTACACTTACTTTCAGGCTTGTCAAAAATGTGTGCAGGTTTGAAGCCTTCTCCAGACACCCAAAAACTAGAGGAAAGCAGAAATGTTGCAGTTTTCAGGGAGTGCAGGACAAGAGAAGTACTGCAAAGAAAGCCCTAAACCACAAAGGCAAGATTTGGAGCAGATAGGCTTAGGCTGGCATAACTAGCATATCTGTGGAATCAAAAGAGCTGTAAAGGGGAAACAGCAAACTTAGCTGCACAGGAGTTACTGTATATGTGCTTATTTACATGAGCACTGTGTCCCCTTTGTATCTCCCACTGAACTTCTGGCAGAGTTTCTTAGTTTAGTTTGCATGAGAAATCAGTTCCATCTAAACCTTCTTCAAGATAGTGAGTTCAGAAAGAGCTGAGCGACTTCCAGGAGACCTTTGCTGTCTTACAGGACTTGACCCATACTTGAAATGGGCCCCCAGGGAGTTTAAAGAGATGTAAAAGCTTAGTTGTTCAGTTTGAGATCATCTTCAAGAGGCACATTTCCAAGTTAAAGACATCTGCTTTCTGCAAGTTAAGTCCCTTTAGAGATATTAAACCAAATAACAACATGTCAGAAGTCATGATCAGCTTGTTTTCCTATAGCTAAAGACTACAGAAATACAGGTGTTACAGTGGTTTGAAGGCATGTGTATGCTGGGCAACCTTAGATAGGCTTCCTATGCAAAGGCCTAAAATTCCAGGAAAGAAAGACTTGTGCCAGCACACTTCGCCTACACCTTCCTTTCCCCAGAAAAGCTTTTAAAACCATCAATTGCAGACAGATTTAATAGGTAGTCATAGCCTCAAAGACTGCAAATTCCTACCATGAAAACAGTTGGTCAGAGAAGACTTTTACTGCTGAGAAGCTGAGAAGAAACATAAAACCAGAGTAAGATGTTAGAAGACCTACTTTCCAGGGAAAGATACAAATTACACCAATTTAGTTACAGAAAATAGGACAAGACACAGAGGTTTCTCACAGTTACTGAATGTTGCATAGACTACTTGATGTCCAAGGAATAAACTAATGTTACAGCCTTCCTATAATATGGATTAAGTCAGCAAGTAGAGGAAACCAATCTCCAGTTCTTCTGCTGCTTACAGAACTATTGTCATTGTCTCTAGGCTGACTTGCAAATCCTGAAACCAGATCTTCACGTGATTTAGTCCTTAGGTTGTATTTGACAAAACGTGATTATTCCAGTCATTCTTGCACACCTGAAATTCAAATTGAAAACAAAGAACATGTGGGTACCATGCAGCAGAAAGCTGTACAGTGATTGCATCTAGTCCTTGTTTTCAGCAGTAGATGTGCTACAGTGGGCTACAAATGGATAGCTACAATAGAATCATAGAATAGTTAGGGTTGGAAAGGACCTTAAGGTCACCAAGTTCCAACCCCCCTGCCATGGGCAGAGACACCTCACACTAAACCATATCACCCAAGGCTCTGTCCAACCTGGCCTTGAACACTGCCAGGGATGGAGCATTCACAGCTCCTGGGCTGCGATTCCCTGGACAATCCATTCCAGTGCCTCACCACCCTCACATGAAAGAGCTTCCTCCTTCTATCCAATCTAAACTTCCCCTGTTTAAGTTTTAACCTGTTACCCCTTGTCCTGTCACTAAAGTCCCTAATGAAGAGTCTCTTCCCAGCATCCCTATATGCCCCCTTCAGATACTGGAAAGCTGCTATGAGGTCTCCACGCAGCCTTCTCTTCTCCAGGCTGAACAGCCCCAACTTTCTCAGCCAATCTTCATATCGGAGGTGCTCCAGTCCCCTGATCATTCTCATGGCCCTCCTCTGGACTTAGAATCATAGAATCATAGAATAGTTAGGGTTGGAAAGGACCTTAAGATCATCAAGTTCCAACCCCCCTGCCATGGGCAGGGACACCTCACTCTAAACCATATTACCCAAGGCCTCGTCCAACCTGGCCTTGAACACTGCCAGGGATGGAGCATTCACAACCTCCCTGGACAACCTGTTCCAGTGCCTCACCACCATAACAGGAAAGAATTTCCTCCTTATAGCCAATCTAAACTTCCCCTGTTTAAGTTTTAACCCATTACCCCTTGTCCTGTCACTACAGTCCCTAATGAAGAGTCCCTCCCCAGCATCCCTATATGCCCCCTTCAGATACTGGAAGGCTGCTATGAGGTCTCCATCCAGCCTTCTCCAGGCTGAACAGCCCCAACTTTCTCAGCCAATCTTCATATGGGAGGTGCTCCAGTTCCCTGATCATCCTCGTGGCCTCCTCTGGACTTGTTCCAACAGTTCCATGTCCTTTTGATGTTGAGGACACCAGAACTGCACACAATACTCCAGGTGAGGTCTCACAAGAGCAAAGGGGCAGGATCACCTCCTTCAACCTGCTGGTCATGCTCCTTTTGATGCAGCCCAGGATACAGTTGGCTTTCTGGGCTGCAAGCACGCACTGAAGCTGGCTCATGTTCATTTTCTCATCGACCAGCACCCCCAAGTCCTTCTCTGCAGGGCTGCTCTGAATCTCTTCTCTGCCCAACCTGTAGCTGTGCCTGGGATTGCTCCGACCCAGGTGTAGGACCTTGCACTTGGCACAGTTAAACTTCATGAGGTTGGCATCAGCCCTCCTCACAAGCGTGTCAATAATTTGGTCCGTGATTTGCTCTCCTTTAATATAATGAAATTTCACCTAGAACTGTGCCAAAATGCTGCAGAAGGCTCCCCTCGTTAGTGGGCTGCACATCCTGGACCCCTAGGACCAGACTTGGTTTGCTTTTCTGGGAAAAGTTCTCAGCAGTTCCTACTGCCTTAGTGCTCTGCAGAGCCTTAAATAAGCAGACCTTTTCAGATCACTGCTATTTGGGAAAACCTGGGTTAAATCAGGCAAAGAAGGCAGTCCTTCCAGAATAGGGCCTCCTTCCCGTGGGAAGGCCATAGTAAGTAGTTTACATTTGCACAGCAAGTACAACAAGCTCTGCTGTCTCCTTCCCCACCAGCTGTCAGCTGAGTGAGTCTCTCCTTAAACTTCTTTCTAGAAGCCTGAAACCTGCTCAGCTGATCATGCTTCCAGCAGCCTACCAGTTCTTCTATGCCTGCCCATCCTCGCACACGCTTGGTCCCCTGACTGGTTAAATTCACTGCAACAAGCTTCTAGAGTTGGTTTAGAAGTGTTCACATAGTAAGCTATATGAAAGAGGATCATTATTTCCTTTAGCTAAATTTTTCCATTCTTTGTGCCCTGCCCACAGATGTCTTTATTTCATAGCACTTTAACAAATGACTAGGACAAATAGTAAGTTATTGTCCCTTATATCACAGTTCTTATTAGAACTTTGTGGAAAGCTACAAAAGCTGGGTGGTGGCATTTTTTCCTCTATTCACTCCATAACAAGAGAACTTTGTATAATGCAGTATTAAGACTATCTGGTGCATTCTTTTGTATGCTGAATCTTTCCCCAGTATTTATAATTCTTTTGGACCAGATTGACAATATGTCTGATCTGCTCTTGTTCTTCTAGGATCAAAACAGTCAAAAGAAGCAAGAGTAAGAACATTGGCTTAAACCCTTCAGTGATTCAAATAGTGTAGTCTAAAAAGGAAACAAAAGCCATCAAAATTTAACTTCTCAGTGTTAATGAAAATATGAGGCTTACTCA